GCAGGGGCAGGGGCAGGGGCAGGGAGGGGCAGGGGCAGGGGCAGGGCAGGGCAGGGCAGGGCAGGGCAGGGCAGGGCAGGGCAGGGCAGGGGGCAGGGGCAGGGCAAGGGCAGGGCAGGGCAGGGCAGGGCAGGGCAGGGCAGGCACGTGCCTTGTTCGAGTGGTGGGTTTGGGGGGCGGTGGGGGCGGGCAACGAAACCACAAAATTGGCACCGGGGGTTGCCCCAGCTTTGGACCCGGATCTCAAAAACTTATGATAAGCATAATAGGAATTTTCAATATATATATATATATATAGATAGACATGCCTCCTCCCCATGCGAGACAAGCAGAAACCCGTAGGATGCTTGTGGATTTTGCCAAAGAACCCTGAAACCCTCAAGATGTTTTGGATTTCTACTGGAAAACAAAAAACCTAGGGAATGTTCGGATTCGTGTGGTAAAGCCAATAAACCCGGGGATTCGTTGATGCGAATCCAAAACATACAAAAAAATGAAAACAGAAAAACCCAAGAGTTTCCGAGCCGCCGCAAGGACGTCGGATCTTTTGCTTTTTGGTGTTGTCATTTTCCTTGTTCCATACTGGATCACAGAAGGCGCAAGGACGTAGGACGACAGGGACTGCACACTGCAGTCTGCAGTAGCCGCAAGAACAAAAGTGGCAAAGACCGCACACACTGCAAATTTCAAGAGGTCAGCAGCATTGAGGCACAGTTCCAAAACAAGGCTGCTGGGGTCCGTCCGTGTCAGACTCGGGGTTTGTAGTCCCGCCACGCATCCCTTCTTCATTGCGGCTCAGCGGAAACCAGACCGTACATGATTTACCTTTCGTGGTTCATGTACTGCCCATCATATAGAACATTCCTGGCAGGGATATGTATGCCGGCTTTTGGCTCGCAGCTGAAGCTAGAACACAAGCACTGGGAAGTGGCCACTGACAGCACCAGTAATTCTGCTAATAGGTTGATAACTTGTACGTTCGGTAATAGAAATCGTGGTCGTCGTGTCGTCGTGATTCCAGCAGGAGACGGAGCAAATAGGAACCAATGACATAGAGCCAAAAAACTGGTGGCGGCGCTATCCGCGGCTGGGAGCTGCATTTGGGGCAGAAATATTTCCGTGAGTTGATTACTAGTTGGCGATGAACCATCGATTCATGTATTTGGGAAGTGTTTAGGGTTCAACCTCATGGGCAAATTTGCTCTGGGCTCTTTAGACAATTGCATCAGGCCCTGGGCGGCTTATACGTGCAGCTATGTTGCCATGTGATATTACGTAAAAGTACAATAGGCACCAACAGCGGGCAGAAAATGCTTCTGGATTAGCCTAGCGCTCAAGCAGGCCTGTAATCATGTATTGCAGGTTCTAACAGGCCTATATGTGCAGCTGTGCGAGACTTACCACATAGAAACAGGACATAGGGGCGGAGGCCTGCTTTGCGAATTTTTCGGGTGTGCGATCTATGATGAGGCTATGAAACCTGACCACATGCATACGAGGCCCTGCGGCAGCGGAGTATTGTATATCGGGAGTTTCGGCCGAGGTTGCCGTTTTGTTATGCTAGCATCCGAAGATTCTATCAACTTTGAGAGCTTGGGGCTGTGCAATCAAGTACGAGGAAGCAATTTGATGCAGTTGTGTGCAAGAAAGCGTTGGGCTTGAAAAATCCCTCCTTTCTTCGCGAGCCAAGATCTGTGGAACCTGCTGACTGACTGTCTCTGAGCAGTTGCAAGCTACAACAATACACCTTTAAGGTGTTACACACACTTGGGGTTAGGACCGGATTAGGTCAGCTTGACCTTAAAAGCTTCCCGTGGAAGACCTTGTGGCAAGGTGCGAGCATATAGGGCAGATACACACGTGTCACATCATATGTATACATATATATATATATATTATATATATATATATATATATATACGTGCCAATATTTGTTCTGGATCGCATGCCCCGTAGGCGAAAGAGGAAGGAACATAGCCAAGAACCCTGGACTGCTAGGGTCGCCATGAGCCAGCTGGAGCTGCATGCTCATTTCGGAGGTGATTCGAGGCCTTGAGGACTTGAAAGCGCTGCGGGAGATGCTGGAGCACCAACTGTTAGATACGGCATTATGCGGAGTTGAATAGCTGCCAATGAAGTGCATGGCGATAACCATGCGATGAGAGTTGAGACTGCAACCACCGTCGACACGGTAGCCTGTGATGTGCACCGGAACAACAGAGGTGGCAGGCAGCTGTTCAGGGAGTGGCGTGGACAATGGGAGCCTCTTAGTGGGAGGTCAGGGTGCTTCGCAGATCTGGTGAAGTCGCTTGTGTTTGAAACAAGCTTGAGCGGACAGCAGATTTGATGCTGGGGTGTTCGCAACCGGGACATGGCACTGGACGTGATATGTACAAGCGCCGGAGGCGACGTCGCTTGCAAGCTTCATGAAGATGCGGGCACATGCCTTGATCAGCAGTGTGTGATCTTTTCAGGCAAGCAGCCTGAGGATTGCAGCATCTCGTCGGATTACAGCATCCAGACAGCTGTCACTGAGATGTCGACTGCCAATTTGATCGAGTTGGGCTTAGGTGTTGGAGGATAATGGCAGCGGTCAAAGAGCGCTGAAACATCTCCCAGAAACGCTGGGCAAGAGGGGGCTTTGGTTCGGTTTCTTACGTCCTCTTCTGCTTTCGTGGTAGTTCACAAAGCAGATACGAGTGCCGTCATTGATCATGCAGTAGACTTTCCGTTTCGTGAGCCCCACTTGGACTTTGCTGGGCAGATTTCTGCGACAAAGGGCTGAGTCCAACTCGAGTGCGCACTGCCAAAAAACCATTTTTGGGGGCGGCCCTATGCAACTCTCACTCAGCGTTCCTCCTAAAGTACAGTCTGTGAGTAGATTGAAAAGGAGTTGGCTGTGAGGAGTGTCTTGCACGTTGGCAGCCTCACTAGGGTACTCCAAAAGTGGCGGTCTACAGCTAGTCTGTGAGCCTGTAGATACGAAAACGGGAAGGTAGGGCTTTGGGTAGGAGGTAGCCGGGAGGACTTTAAAAGCCAGTGCCAAAAGTAACTTGGTGCACTGTTCTGTCCAGTGGACTCTTCTCCTACCTGGCCTAAGACCCGCTCCTACCGTTCCCCCTCTGTACTGAAATGTATGTGTAAAACAGCAGTTCCGTTCTATACTGGTCGGATGGGATCGAAGAATGTGCCCGAAAAGCTTCAGCTGTGCTTTGTGGATGTGGTGAGTGATGGGGGGTTGTTCTGTGAGCGCTCGGATCTGTTGATTGGTGTAGGTGTGCGCTGTTGGCTCCAGGACCTGCGTGTAGTAGGTGCTTTTGATGTGAAGGATTTTCCTGAGGCTCTGTGAGTGGAATGCCTCGAGTCTGTTGTAATCAGCTGTTGTGAGCGCCGCTGATTCGAGGCCATATGTTGTGAGGGGGATGAACACGGCATTGTAAATCCGCAGCTTCCACTTTAATGTGAGGTCGGTGTTGCGCCAAAATTGGTGCCGTGAGTGGAAATGCTTGCGTGCTTTGGCCAGTCTTGTGAGGATGTCTTTGTGGGTGGAGCCGTCGCTGCTGAGCGTTACGCCAAGGTACTTGGCGTGTTGTTCGATGGTGACAGGTGTGCCGTCTGTGAATGTGATCGTGTTGTGTGAGGTGGGTGACCTTAGAAGAACGCACTTCTTGAGGTTGAGGCGCAGGTTGCTGTGGGAGGCTACGGCTTGTAGCGTGTGGAGCAGCTGTTGTGCTCTGGTGGCGGTGCCTGCAAGCAATGCTGTGTCGTCTGCGTAGGCCAGGTCGTAGAAGGGCTGGTTTTGGCTATACAGCCATGGGAGAAATCTCCATTGGCTGTGAGTTCTGCGTCCACGTCGTGCATAATCATCCCATGTACCACCAGGAAAAGGTATGGGGAAAGTGGGCATCCCTGCCTGATGCCCGACTGGGGCGGGATGCTGAATATGACAGACAGGTGCTCCTACACATGTTGAGTGTGCGAAGCCGCACGGCTGAAGCACGTCACAGTTCCGACAGTGGAAGATGAGCATCTTGTTTATGCTCATCCTTGATCCGATGCTTCTGCACGGATGAAGTGGACAGTTTATCCGTCTTCTTACTCGGATTTGCCTTGACAGGACATTGTGTCGTTTTATCCCCGTCGAGGACATGAACGGCATCCGAATCATAGACCCCTGATGCCCGACTGGGCCTCTTCTTTGCTGCTGCTGTGTCCTGCTGCTGCCACCGTGAACTGTGGTGAGGTGTATATGTTTTTGATGAGGGCTGTGAGATGTGGTGGGACATCGAATCTGTCGAGTGCTGTGAGAAGGGCCTGTGGGTGTATTTTGTCAAAGGCCTTTTCCCAATCCAACAGAATGGTGTAGAGAGATTGTCTGTGGCTTCGGCTCTCTCGATCAGTCTGTGAATGATGTGGATGGGCTGTGAGGCGGATCGTGTGGCCCGAAAGCCGAATTGTGTGTCCCGTAGTCTGTCGTCGATCGCCGCTTGCAATCGGGTGTGAATGATTTTAGCAAAAAGTTTATAGGAGGTGCAAAATAATGAGATGGGACGATAGCTAGCAGGATCTGTGAGTGGACCCTTGCCCTTGTAGATCTCGACCACGATAGCCTCGTGCCAGTCGTCTGGGATTGTGGCTGTGAGAAGTGCCTGGTTCAGCACTCTGAGGAGTGCGGCTTGGTTGTGTGTGTCCAACCACTGCCAAGCTTCGGCAGGTGTGGTGTCTGGCCCTGGTGCTTTGTTGTGTGCGAGCTCTTTGAGAGCTAAAAACCATGCATGCCCTAATTAAGCTACACCTCTGACAGCATGGAAATAAAAATGGAAAATGAAAATATTTGCACAATGCTGCGTGAATGCCCGTTCTTTGTACACACGGATGTTGAAACTCTGTTAGTGCTTGCCTTAGTTGCAGTCTGAGAACTTCCCTCCGGCTTCTTCCTTCCTTCTTCCTATTCTTCTTCCTTCTTCCTCTTCTTCCTCTTCCCTCCGGCCGGCCTCGTCGGAGCTCAAGACCTCGACCGCTTTGGCCACGGCGCTCTGCTCTTCGCGTCGGAGCGCGCCTTCTTCCGCCACAGGAAGGAACTCCACAGACTCAACTTTAGACTCTACCGGCACTCTGCTGGGACTCTACCGGATTCTACGGATTCTTGCTTGCGCTCTTTGCTGCTAGAACACTCCGCTTCTCATAGTCCGCATCCATGGCCGCACACTTCTCCTGGCTCAAGATCGTGCAAAGCCGGGATACGGCTACGACTTCCTCGGACAGGCACAGAGCTTCCAAACTGCTACAAGGAAAGTCCTTCACCACGGTGCTCAGCGATCCGTCCGCTTCCAATGCGGCTGTGGTGTCTTTGATGTCCTCCAGAACTTCACTCAGAGAGAACGCGACCTCCAGACATCCCGGTCCACCCAAGCTGCCTGCTTGGCCTGCGCACGCTCCAGGTCCGCAGCTGCCTTCTGCTCCTTCTTTGCCTTGCGTACACTAGTGCAGCAAATGCGCAAGAGAATCCAAGAAGTACTTTATCACCTCCAGCTGCTTCTTGCCGGCCGTGATTTCCTCGCTCTTGGCCTTGACCAGCCCTTCGTGGGCCTCCAGAAAGCTGGGATCGGAAATAGTGCGTCTGCGCAGCTGCCCGCCTTCTTGTCCTTCTCCTCTTGCGCCTTGGCTTCCGCAAGGTCCTTCTCGAAGCCGTCCTCACATGGGCAAAACTCTTGTAAATCTGTCAATAAGCACCACAACTGCTCCTTGAGGGTTGACAGCGTTCCAGCCACCACGCTGGTAGTATCAGGAGCCTTTTGCAGGAAAGCTGACCTGGCAATGTGCAGCCCGCCACCTGGAGCGACTGGCTTTCTCTCTGATTAGCCTTGCTTTCGAAGGGTTCTTGATCAACTCCTCAACCTGGCAGGAGCTTCAGTGGCTTGTGCTTTCCCGCGCATTGCAGGCGCCTTCTCGCGTTGCGTCTTGGTGAGAAGCCTCATGTGCTTGGACACGATCGCCCGCAGCTGCGACAGCGCACTCATGAGGCGCGCCTGCCGAGGGAAACGGGATTAAGCAATTACCCATGCGGTCTGAAAGAAATGCGGCCTGGCTGGACTCTGCAGAACGAAGTATGCATGAAACAATCGTCAAGACGTCGTCCGCAGAACGAACTTAAAAGCATGCTTGTGCCGAAGGCTCTCGGCGCCTGCGGCATCTGCAAGAACGAAGACTTGTCAGAACCTGAAGCGCTGAACAAGGTGAGCTAGCTCGAACACAAGCTCTGGTTGCTCGGTCTACGTGATCAATGTGCAAAATGGACGCCAGACTTTGCTAAGCCTCACCTCGTGTTTCTCCGAATGGTTTCGACTCAATCTGCACTCTTCGCCACTCTGCGCCGACACCGTGCAAGATTGAGTTGGCGACTGAGGGCATCCAGCGCTTGGTTCACGGATGTGGCGGACTGTGTTAAGTCCTGGCACATCTAATCCTAGTGCGTCACTCGCTTCATGTAGGCTGCAGCCTGTACAGTTCGCCAGGTCAGGTTGCGGCGTTCAGTCCTTCTCGTCATCGTGGAACTCTGCAAGCTGTTGCTCTCGCAAAGCCACAGCAGTGTCCAGAGCTTTTTCGTTGTGCACGACCTCATCCTGCGGCTTGTTTGGACTCCTCCCTAATTATGCTTGTGCTCTGGACATTTGCACCCACACCCAAATCGCAACACCGGGGTTCAGCTGACACGGAAACGGCAGTCCACTTGAGCTCCATGTACACACGAAGATCTGCACGGGTTCAGTGCACCCTCGAGCGTCAGACCCGACTCCGCTTGCATTGAGCATGTAATGGATGTTGGTATGGAGTATTTCTGCGCGGCGCGAAACATGTAGGTAAGGTTTGAAAACCCTGGCCGGTTCAGAAGCTCCAAGCTACTGCCGGAGTGAAGAGGACGGAAGGAGGCACAGGCACACCTCAGCTCACCTCGATCCGTGCGGCATGCCTCCACCTAGCATGCGCTTCAAAGATCTTACCGGCCCAGGAAGGCAGATGCAAACTCGCTCGGCTTGAAGCATTTTGCCCAAGCCCTGAAAAGTGCTCAAGTGTATGCCAAAAAGTAGCACACCGTAAAGTGCATGTAGTCACAAACAAACACGGCCAGCACCAAACGAGGTGGCAGTTGCTAGCCCCAAAAAACAACTCCCAACCCCCATGCTTTTGACTCGACAATCTCGGCCACACCGCCAAGCGAATCCTCATTCATCTCTGTTTTCGCTGTTATGTCGGGCTTGTCATCCGACCTTCCCTTTTAGTGATCAGGGCCTTTTCTTCGGGATTGGCAAGCCAATGTCTCCTTTGGGGGTTGTTGGGGCAGAGCCGGCAGCGCCGCAGGACCTCATTTTCACTGGTGTCTGAAATCGCGTCGCACATTGCAATAACCGACCCGATTGCCTGCTAGAAACTCCGATTCGCTGACTTACTAGTAGCGGCTGCTTTGTGCACAGCGGCTCGCGGACAAGGCGGATTCGAGCACGGGCTAATTCAGGCACTGTACGGCAGAATGGCAGGCATAGGATCTCCACGCTGACGTGGGGGATTCGAGCACTGGCAGCTTCGTGCATGGAGGCCACGGCTTCGCTGGGATTCACACGCCTGTGCACTGGCGCACAGGACCTTCAGAGTATGCATAAAAACCCACGACCCTTAACCTCAAAGACCATGAAAGTGCAAGAAAGTCAAGCGCGGTTGTTCAGCACAGGCATGTGGCCGGTGTGAATTGCTTTGAGCACCGCTTGCCATGCATGACACCACACAATGCTTTCGCACGAACCTTCCCTGTCTCCTCGAACCCACCTGAAATTCTGAACCTTAAGACCCTTGACAGCAACCCTCAACCCGAAACGCCTAAACCCTGAAACATCTGAAAACCCCAAGCCGAACAGGCCCTACAATAATGAAACCCTAGACCCTAAGCATCGTGAACCCTCAAAACCGCATGTCTCCGAAGCATTCCGAATCGTCTGAACCCCGAAGTATCAAATCCTGAACCACACAGCATTTAAACTCAAAACATGCCTGCAGCCCAAAAACCTTAAACCATAAAACTCTTGACCCCAACACCGCGAGGCACAAAAAGACATTGCATGTTGATGCAATCGTGGTCGACCTTTAGCAATGGCTTGACTTTCGCTGGCATGGCTTTGGTGCGGAGCGGAGCACCATGCCAGTCCCAATTCCCTTTGTTCCGAGTCTCGCTTCCGTTCCGGCTTGAACTGCATCCCAATGTATTCTCACGATAAAACACAGGTTGGTAACATGTTACCAAAAGAAAGAAATCCGTTGTTATTGAATGGGTGCCCTGCTCTTCGATTCTACCCAGGTTCGCGCTAGGCCGTTGACCTCCACAAGTCTTGGCATGTGGAGGCCGAGAGACCCGCCGTCCTGAGAAAGCCAAAGGACGAGGCACCGGTCTCTCCTTCCATCTAACATATGGAAAGGACGTCACTTGAGGGCGGAAGGCATGGAGAACGAAAGCTCAAACCGCATTCGCATGGACGTCACCATCCCCCCTCCCGAATTTGCACGGAGCTCAAATAAACATGGAAGTAAGCAGGCATGTGCTAAAACTCGAGTCTCGGCACAGTGCAGACCGGAAATGAGTAAACACCGGA